TCAATTATTTGTACTTTTTTTAAACTTTCATTAATTAAATTATTTTCATTTTACGTTGTTATTTTTCTTTGTTTCCGTTCAATTTGTCGTGTTGCAAATACATGCGGCATACTTATGCGTTTCAATAATTAGCGAATTGATATTCGACACTTGTAGTCTAACAGTTCTAATAATTATAAATGCGAATTAGCCCAACAAGCAAAATATATATACAGAGCATCCACTTTTACGTGCGACCTTTAGCTGATGTCCTCATAGAATGTTCTTTTAACGAAACTGACAATTTTCGTAAGCAAATAAAATATACATAAACGGAGCGATTTATGTCCTAATTTAAATGTAAGTAATTGTGATTACCGGGCTTATCAGATAGGTGGAAAACATTTAATTGTTTTTGTTTTAATAGTTATTGAAGACTGAAATGTTAGAAAAAAAATAAAGTACTTTAATTACTAATAAAAGTAATTTTCAATTGAATTTGTTTGAAGGTATCAAATAATTGCATGCGAATGTTAATATCGAAGAAAACCTAATTTAAATATGCATATGAATAATGAAATGTGTAAATACATAAATAATGATGTATTAGAATTGATGTTGTTCGTTTTCAAATATTTCTCAGCAATATTAGACTACATATTTTTTTAAATATTTCTCAGTCGTCAATTGTGCACTACGTTTTCAAAGAATTGTTTTATAACCTAATCGACTTCATTTCCCGTCTGATTTCAAAGTTTTTACTATTAGTTGAGAGTGCAATAAAAACTCTACAATATGTGATATAACAGCAATCTTAATCATTTTCGAAAAATCCGCTGTTCGAAAAAAAATTTTTGTTTGAATTTTTTACGAAAATTTCAAATACTACCATCAAGTTATTTTACGCGCATTCGAAAGAACATAAAAAAATGAACCAAACCGCAAAAACCGCATCTTAAAATAATTTCTGGAATCGCTTTAATACTTGAAAATAATAAAGGTTGCCTAACTCAAATAATTAAAATAGGCTTTGAAAGAAAAAAATTTGGTTTATTTTGTTGTTGTTTTATTTTTCCACTATTTTCAAAGTTACTAGATGTTTCACTTATAGGGACAATTTCTGTATAAAATCGACTTTTTAAAATACCGTTTGCAATTACGCCATCTAGTGGTCATCTGAGAAATTTTAAAATAATTTCCAGAAAATTATTTTTAATGTGAAAGTTTGTTATCAATTTTTTTCCGATCACTCTACAACACATACTTTCCAAGATACAGCCGCATACCATCCTTATTGCGACACCCTGTATAAAAAATGTTAAAATCATCTAAAATATATTAAAAAATACTAACTGGTTAGGAATCAGGAAGACAATATTTGGGAACAGACCGGAATTCAATTTCTAGTACAGTCAGGAAAAGTAACACAAATATGAATAAATGCGTAACTCTCTTAATACGGACCCGATTCGGATCATTAACAATTCGTTCTAAAGCGAGTGATTTTGTCTAAAAATCTCATTTTGCAAACTTTACATCAGTTGGCAAACTTCAAAGCCATAAGAGTTTGAATGTCGCAAAGACGATTTTTCAAGTCAAATATTATAAACGTTTTCTTTGTGGATTTAAGGTCGCATTTTTTTGAGAAACAGCCTTTCGTATGTAGAAATGTTTTCTGCAAACTGTTAATATCGGGTCGATTCGGAAGTTTTTAAATATGTTGAAAAACCTACGATTTTCTATATAAAGAGCATCATCTAAGAGTTATTGTGTCTTCTTTTCTGTTGAAATTGTCGTTGTGTTTGTAGATTTCAATGGCTTCTCGTATTGGTCGGGGGCGGTACCCTGTTGTTGTGGCCAGGATCTGTGCCTCTCCAAAATAGATGTTGTGTGTTCCATCGCTGAGGGTGTGTTCCGCCACTGCCGACTTTTCCACATGTCCCAGTTTATAATTCCGTCGGTGTTCTTCTATTCTTGTCGCAACCGATATCTTAGTAGTTCCTATGTAGACGCTTCTACAGAAAGCCAATTGGTGGTTTTGTTCAACTTCCATGGTGAATTGGATATCTGGGTGCTATTTGTTTAGATGGTCGAAGAAGATGTCCAGAGTTTCGCGTCCATGCCTCCATTTTTTTTCCGGTGAGATTTTGGAAATGCTCTTTTATGCACTCCCAGAGCTGGTAGTCTGTCGCTCTGGGTTGTGTGGGACTCCAGCTAAGCTGTTTACCCACTAAAACCCTTTCCTCACAGCCGAGGTGGTATTTGGCCTTGCACCGCGGTTATTTCTGCCCTATTGTGCCCTCGTATTTTACTCTCTCATTATCCCTGTGTATTCAATGAATTGCAGAAGAATCTTGAGGGGGAGGTACGACGCATGACCTGGTCTGGTAGTCATCCCTGGCTGCAGCTGGTCGATTTTCCCAAGCAGGTGCCTCTTTATGAGTTCTCCCTGCTGAGGAGAAACGTTCTTTTCGGGATATCCGACAGCCGCTATGGCCATCTTAATCCCGGAAACCGTAACCTTGCACGACTTGTGTGTGATTCCTTCCTATACGGAAGTTCCCACATACAGCTGCCCTGCCCTGGTGCTGGCTTGTTGGGTGTGCTACCATCCGACCGGTGTCGCTTTTGCGTCCCGGTCATGGCAAATTTTTTGGGGTGTGCTGGTTTCCCTGAGGGTCTACTTAGCACAGTTTTGATGGTTTTTACGCCTGGCTGCGCCCGAGAGTTTTTTACCACCCTTCGGTACTTTGCCAGCTGCGGAGTCCGACGGTTCTTCTGTGGAAGTCCCGCCGGTATTTTTTGGTGTATGATGGTGGTGTTTCTTTCCAATCATTCCCACGAGTAGCTGGAGAAGGGTTAGGTCCATCCACACTCCCCCCAGCTTTGCATCTCTTGGCGCGCACTATACCGTGAGAATTGGGAGGTGTTATAGTGACCTCGTCACGCGATCCGTGTTGTAAAACCAATATCCTCGCGCCTCCTACAGTACCCATCGCGAGGCCGTAGCCACGAGAGTCGTTGCACTGCAGGCGGTTTGCGGCTTATGCCATAAGCTGGTCCGCGGTGACGGCTTTCGATCCAGAGCCGTGGGTTTTATTCCACGACTTTCACTTATGGTCGTCGCTAACCGGTCAGACGTATCTGACTGTCCTTCCCCCTATCCGCCATCTGGGGACGGGCCCGATGGCTCACCCAACCTGCACGGGTCCATGCCTCCATAGCACGAACGTGTCATCGACATATCGGTACCAGATCGTTGGTTTAAGGGGTGCGGTGCTCAACGCTGTTTTCTCAAACTTCTCCATGTATAGATTCGCCACCACCGGACTGAGTGGGCTTCCCATGGCTACTCATTCCTTTTGTTCGTAGGAATCTCCATTCCACAGGAAGTAGCTGCCCTTTAGACAAGCCTTGAACAGATTTTTTGTGCTCTATTCAAATAGCTCCGCCAAATTAATAAATAGCCAATAAAGCTTTAAAATCCGAAAACAACGAGCCAAGTAAATAAGGGTTACTCCAAGGGACTCACCAAGCAACTAAGGAATCAACAAAAGACACCAAGATATCTGTTTAGTGTTAGTTCGCGGGGAGTAACCGTCCCCGTCACGAGCCAACTCGGTTGCATATCTAACCTAACCTACGACTTTTGAAGGCAGCTACTATTGCGCTACTCGTTGTGTTGTTATCCCTTAACACCCTTACCTGTGTTGATCCATAACCCGTATAGTAATTCTGCTTTGAAACTTGTATGTTTTGCACAATTGTAATATTTTTTTTGGCTTTAAGAATCCCGAGCGAGCAGATGCTTGGACAGGGACTCTGGATGCCACTAGGCCCTCACCTAGATGCGCCCAGAGAAATTACCTTTTCTTCAATAACCCGGCAATTGAAGGTAGTGAAGACTGTTTGTACCTAAATATCTACGTTCCAGTGGTAAGTGTTGCAACCGAAATCAAGAAGACAAATCAACTAAACTCATTATTCAGATGGATGTATTGAAGAATAGATGTATACAAACGGAAACCGTAATGGCAGGTATTCATTGGGGCGGCTTCCTGGCAGGAGGTTCAGATGCTGGATATTTGGGGCCCAATTATTTTATGAACCGAGGCGTTATTCTAGTGACTTTCAACTATCGTCTGGGGATTTTCGGTAGGTTTCCCAAAACGTTCTCAGAAACGAATTTCCATCAATGGCATTTGTTCTAGGATTTCTGTCCACGTTGGATAATGCAGCGCCTGGAAATTTTGGCCTGAAAGATCAAGTAATGGCGCTGAAATGGATTAAACAGAATATTGGAAGTTACGGAGGAAATCCAGAAAAAATTACAATTTTCGGACAAAGTGCTGGAGCGGCCAGCGTTCATTTTCACTTAGTGAGCAAAGCTTCCAATGGTAAGCATTTTTACAATTATGTAATGCAAAAAATTGTGTTAAAGACTTACGAAGGGGGGGGGGGGTTCCTTCTGTAGATTTTTTGGTCAAATTTTGTTTGGGAAAAACTTAAAATATTTTGCTGTGTTTAGAGGAAAATTTAATTGCGAAAAATTGATGACGAGCCCCAGAAACCCAAAAATCTCAAACTTTTTATTAAATGATACTTGAACAAAACAGAGATATTCACATTAGAGTCTTAGGGTCCCAATTTACATTTGTAAGTACAGCCTTGTGCCGGCAGGAAATCCTAAGTATTTGCCCTGATTAATGTCAGGGCACTGACTCGAATAACGTAAATGAGATAAGTCAGTGTTCCGCTTCCGAATTCCAGTCGATTTCCGACATCAGATCACATATAATGCGTGAATTCAACCATTGAAACAGCCCACAATAAGGCTGACGGTAGACTCCAGACGTTCGCCCAGTTAAATGCTGATTTTTGCTTAAAAATGCCCTAATTTTCCATTTGGACGTCCGAAATAGACCTTGATGGTATTTAACACAGAATGTCCTCAAAACCGGAGCCCGATTTGGGTTTGTAGTTCAAAGAACCTGAGAAACACGTTTACAAGGGCAACGAGATCGACCAAGTCTATGTAGAAATTTTCAGCGTGAGAAGGACCGTTAAGACCAGGTCATCTACCTAAATGCGAAATGTATTTTCAACAATATGAAACGCGCTAATTTCCCTCGTGTACAGCTTGTCCATGGTTTGATTGTTTCTTGCTAGAACTTTAATAATTAACTGCCTTCAAATTAACTAACTAAAACTGAAATTAGAAACTGTAGAATATGTAAAGAAAAACATTTAGTCTTAACTGCTGAGGATTGAATCAGTTACTCCTGGTCAAGCGAAAAATATGGTTTCATAAATTGTAAAAAAATATTTAATTGGCTTTTGAAAGTTCTTCCTACTATCGCTATGTAACACATAGAAGAAAAGCAACAAAAGGAATGCAACAAATCTGATTGCTTCGAGGGCCAGTTTATTACACCACTTAGGCATTATAAATAAGGAAATGATTTCAATGCCTCTCGAATCTATGCAGCAGGACGAATTGTAAAGAGATCGAGAATGACAAATTAGAGAGCAAGTCGATAAGTTTTGAGAAAATCTACGTTTATAGGTTGGGATATACTAACACAAATCGAAACGAGTTAGAACTGCCGAACTGGAAACAGGAAAAAAGTTGGGTTTTGTTTCTGCCGAATGAAGTCTGTTTAAGAGACTGGCAAAGCTCAAGCAAGTACACTCTTGGGTCTTGACTAGGAATACAAATTTATACTTGTACTCTATACAATCTTACCGATATAAATTGGTCATTTCATTTAAAAGAAGCAGAGTCTAACATGAGTTGTGCCGAATCCAAGAACTGAACTTGCTACTGAGACTGACAAAATCGTCCGAGAAGATTTGCGTTTCAAAGTTCCAAATAAAGGAAAAATTTTATGAAAAAAATTTCATACTTGTACTCTGTTTATTCATACCGAGATAAATCGGCCATTTTATGAGTCTAAGACAATTTTTCCCGAATCCACAAACTTGCAACTAATACTGAGAAAAGCGTCCAATAATATTCGCGTTCAATAGTTCTTTACGTTCGTTCCAAAGCAAGTAGAGGCTTGTTTTTCAAGAGAGAAATATATGCTTGTACTCTCCACAATCTTACCAATATAAGTTGGTGATTTTACTAAAACAATACAGAGTTTAACATGATTTTTCCCGACTCCACAAACTTGCAAGTGATACTGACAAAACCGTCCAAGAAGATTCCCGATCAAAAATACTTTCCGTCTGTTGCAAACCAAGTAAAGGCTTGTTTTCGCTCGATACAAATTTATTAAGAGTGTAAGATGTTTTTTCCTGAATCCACAAACTCGCAACTTAGACTGATACAAGCTATTATATTTTATTCTTTCCTGGGTTTCAGTCAAAATGTGAAATAAAAATGGTCATATCGTATATTTCATATTTTTACGTTTCGGCGAGACAACAGCGCCATCATCAGATTTAAAATTCAACACAAACTGCAAACACCAATTTACAATTAAAATATGTTGTATAAAAACTATAATTTACAAAGCGTTAAAACATTCAGTGGTTCTTAAAGAAAACAATATTCCCTGAGATAGCAAAACATTTGAAAAACTTACACTATAATTGGGAAACATGATTCTTTTTAGGCTTGGCTGTCTTGAAACCTCACATTTGTTTGAATTATTTAACATTTATTTAACATATAACATTTAACAAAATATAACATATATTAACATTTACATTGACTGATACAACCGTCCAAGAAAATGCCCGTTCAAAAACTATTTTCGTGCGTTCGAGAGCAAACAGAGGCTACTTTTTCAGGATAGAAATATGTATATACTTGTGCTCTTTTCAATCTTAGCAATAAATATTGTTCATTTAATGGAAAAAACGTAGTTTAACATGATTTTTTCCGATTCCATAAACTCGCAACCGCGACAGGCAAAACCGCCCAAGAAGATTTTCGTTCAAAAATTCTTCTCGTCTGTTCCAAAGCAAGTGCTTGTTTTTTCACGATACAAATTTATACTTGTATTCGATTCAATCCTACCGAGATAAATTGGCCATTTTATGAAAAAACCAGAGTCTAAAATGATTTTTCCCGAAGCCACAAATTTGCAACTTAGATTGATAAGTGTTCAATAAGATTCGCGTTCAAAAACTATTTTCGTCCGTTCCAAAGACCAAGAACCGTTCCAAAGTTTTTTCAGGATAGAACTATATACTTGTACTCTACACAATCTTACCGATATAAATTAGTTGTTTTATGAAAAAAAGAGAGTTTAAGATCATTGTTTCTAAATCCACAAACTTGCAACTTAGACTGATTAAAGCGCCCAAGAATGACAAAAAACATGATTGCCGCTGTGCCTTTTCTTAAAAAAATTGTAGAAGAGGACTTTTTTGATATCAAATATTTTCGTAATTTGAAGCAAAGATCGTAATCTTTTTTTTTGAATGCTTAAGTATTCCAATATGCTACCAATTAAACATAGAACAATTTCAAAATAAAGCTTAATAACAAAGTTGAAATTTGATCTTCAACTATTTCTATATTTTTCTCGTACTCCCCATGGGAGCCTCTATCACCCCTTAAAAGGAATGACGCCAATTTTGAATCACCCTGTATATAAATATGACGCACCAAAAAAATCAATATCGAAATTTAGAAAAAAATGTAGTATGAAATAAAATTGCAAGGGTAAAAAAAACGAGTGAAGAATGTTGTTTTCGAAAAAAGAATAAATCCCTATTGAGAATACAAGACTTTTTTAATTTAAAATGCAATTCACAAAAGAAAACCTCAATAAATGCAACAAATGACTTTCCAATGAAACAGGAAGTGTAATTCACACAAAACGACTCTTGATTAACATGTTTGCTCCTACGTTCGTATTAAAACAAGAAATTCAAATAACGCAAATCCAGATACTTTCTCGTCGTTCCTCGTCGCATAAATATTACATACACTAATACAGGATGAGTTTTTTTCGATGACCAGTATGAGGATCTTCGAAACTAAAGCAGTTACGAAAAGGGTTAAATAAACAAGGAATTGTAGTTTTGAATGCTCTGCTCGAAACTAATTTAATTTTCCTAAAATTTGACAGCTGTCAAGAGATATTAGGGAAAAATTTCTCTATGGGACATTGTTAAATTACTCCTAGTTCCGTTGATATTAATTTGGCAGCAAAACATTAAATAGAAAACTTGTAGGAAATTGAATTCTAATCAAAATGGCATAATACATTTCTCCAAAATAACTGTCATTTTTAACGTATGACGCGAATTGGAGTTTTTTAAATGGCAAACATATTCTTTACCGAATATAGTATTTTATTACGATTTCTGTGATATATCACATCGTTAGGGTTTTTTCGAAAATAAAGTGTCTGCGAACAATTTATACTTTTTCAATTTAGTTTAGTAGATCGAAGTTAGCCATGGAATAGTAGTTTTCGATACAAAGGCGGAAAACGGATTTTCGCCCTCGTATCGAACAATATTGTTTATTTGGATTGTTATTAAGGACATAACACAAATAATAAGTTATAATAAATAAAAATAGCCAAAAATAAAAGCCGCCAACTTTTGTCAGACGTCATAAAAGTCGTCAAAGGTTGTAGGAGATGTCTGCTGCATACAGGACGTCCTCCAGAACCCCAGTCATTCCATTTTCAGTCGTTATGTGGATTATTCCTTTTAATGTGGCTAGGATTGATACACCAACTTTTGCGACGAATATTCGTATTGGATGTTCCAACTGGCTGTATGATGTGAATAAATTTGCTTGGTTTACCATATGGTTTGTGGCACCAGAGTCCAAAATGAATGTTAGGTCCCGTTTTAATCCTTTTGTTTGAAGAGCTGCATTTCCTATCATGAATGCAAAACCTTGTTCACTATTTAATTCTGTACGCACTGTTTGTAAAATGCGTTCACGAGGCTCTTCATTTTTACAGTGATTTTTCTTGTAGAAATAACAATACTTTATTGTATGATTTGTTCTCCCACAATGTCCACACTTCATATTGGAGTTAAAACGGCTTGTTGATTTTCTGTTCCATTGATTTCCATGTCTGCTAGTTGTTTCATTAAAAAAATTTGCCTTTTGTTTGTGTTGTTTATATTTACTTGAAGTAGGGAATTTGGTAGTTTGATGCCTTTCTACATGCAATACTTTAACACTGATGTTATTACTCTCGTTTTGAATTTTTGTGTCATAATCGAGTAATTTAGCTTTTGTAAAAGCTGAACTTAAATTTTCATCTCTTGTGAGTTGCTGTCACTATACCATCATAGGATGCTGGTAGGGTGAAAAGGAGATGGGCTATTTTTGACATTTCCGTCAAATTGCCTCCAGCAGCTAACAGCTCAATCAATAATTCGTCGAAAATCAGGAAATGTTTTGCTAACG